TCAGCATCAACAGCTCTGATCTTGGCTACAAAGTATCCCGCTTCAGCAGAGTAGGGGATGTTCTCAGTATTAACTGATCCAGGTTCAGAATAAGGTGCTAAAATAACCGGACTGTTGTCATTCTCATCCAGAATAAACACATTTACAGTCGCATTACTGCTCAAAGGAGGAACACCAGTGTCTGTAGCCATAACTTGAAACTGAAATCTTTTGGTCTCTTCATGATTAAAGGATTGCAAACTGAATATTTCTCCACTTAAAGAGTTGATATTTATCAGTGTTGTTACAGGAATGCTGGAGCTGGAACTGTCTAACAGTGAATATGAAAGTTCTGCGTTCTCACCAGTGTCTGAATCTTCAGCAGTCACTTTTGTCACGAGACCTCCAGCTTGACTATTCTCATCTAGAAAAGCGTTAATAACGGGTGCTGGGAAATGTGGAGCATTGTCATTAACATCAGAGATATGAACAGTTATAACTGTGCTGCTGGAAAGAGGCGGAGTTCCTTCATCTGCAGCTGTAATAGTGATGTTATACTGAGAAACACTCTCTCTGTCTAGAGGTCCATCTACCACTAGAGAATAATGATTATTGTATGATGTCTCCAGTTTGAAAGGAAATAAACCTTTCAGTGCACAGTGTACAATGCCATTTTTACCTCCATCTTTATCAGACACTGTGACTAAAGCAACAGCAGTTCCTGACTTTGTGTCTTCTTTCACACTTTCAAGCAGTCGAGTCACAATTATCTCTGGTGCATTATCATTTTCATCCATGACTTCAATTAAAACTTTACACTGTGTGCTCTTTGGTGGACTGCCTTTATCTCTTGCCTGGACTCGCAATTCAATTGCAGCATTCAGCTCATGGTCTATTTCACCCTTCACAACAATGTCCCCATTTTCAGGAACCACAGTGAATAAACTTTGCTTTTTTGAGTTTCCATGTTCAGCTATGGAGTATATAATGTCACTGTTGGTTCCCTCATCCAAATCAGTAGCAGTTAAAGAGATTATTTTTGTACCAACAGGAACATTTTCTCTCACCTTACCTTTGTACAAAGGTTTGCTGAAGACAGGCCAGTTATCATTTATGTCCAGTACATTCACTATTACACTTAATGTGCCTGTCTTTGCCGGCTTTCCTCCATCAAAAGAGGTCAATACGAGAGGAATAACCGATTGCTTTTCACGATCTAAAGGCTTTTGGAGCACTAATTCAGCAGACACACTTTGCTCTTCAGTTTGTACGTCAATAGAAAAGTGTTCATTCCTGCTCAGTTTGTAGTCTTTGAGTGCATTAGTGCCAATGTCGTTATCTTCAGCTACAGGAAGGTGAAATCTAGTTCCCGGAACAACATCCTCTGTAATGTTTATCGTTATAACGCTGTCCACAAAATAAGGAGCATTGTCGTTAACATCCAGAACATTAATTTCAATTCGATGTAGACTATGAGGATTCTGAACAACAGCCTCTAAATTAAGAGCACACTGCTGATGAGCGAAGCATAACTCCTCCCGGTCGATTCTTTCATTCACAAACAGCGCTCCCGTTTTCAAATTCACATCAAAATATTTTCTGTTAGATCCAGAGACAAGCTGCAAGATGCGAGATTCCAGCTCCTGGACACCAATCTTGATATCTTTTGCAATATTTCCGACAACAGTCCCTTTATTTACCTCCTCTGAGACCGAGTAGGTAATCTTGCTAAACGACGATTGACATAAACAAAAATGAATAGCTGTTATGATGCAAAAATACCTTGAGCAATCCATATCTTTCTCTTTAAAATCAGTTTTTCTCGTTCATGCCAGAATGGTTGTCTTAGTTGCCTATCCAGTACCGAATCATTGACACATGCCTACAGTAGGATGATTGCGTCTCTGCCACAGGGAGGAGCCTCATTTGTAATACCAGAAGTGCTTAAAATCTATGGTCTGCAGCGACATCGCGCGCTTTACTTGCGTTATGATTGTGGAAATTATAGATAAGAGAGTGCAATTTTGTACACTTGTCTTAACAGAATTAAAGGTGCAAATTGCAAAATAGGCCTATATACGTAAATAAGGTTTGTATGTTTGTACTGCAGCTTTGTTTAAAACCTGAGCAGATTTAATAAAATATATTAATCTGTAACCAAGGAAAGTCAAATGTACAAAAAGAAGCGTGATGATGATGTTCTCGTTGTCCAAGGTGCTGAAACCCTCTCTAATTTTAAAGAAATCAAATAACCATAAAGAAGTGTATAAATTATATGGTGAAAATGTGCTTTTTTTAAAACTTCATTGTTTTTATACCCTATAATAATTTTCTATACTAATCCAAATTATAGAAAAACATCCGTTTTTACTACTGTAATATTGACGTTGTAAGTCATTAATTGCATCTAACTGGATTTGTATACCATTATAATTTACCAGTTAGTACAGTCGGTGAAAAATACAAGCGAAAAACAAATACAAAACAATTAGTTAAGCGACTTTAAATTAAAATAGGAAACAGCAACATTTTACACGCACAGCAGAATGTCTGCTACAACCACAAAAATAAATGCATGTTGCAAATAATATAGGCCTACTACATTAAACAAACTTAAAAAAAATAATAATCAAATTGCACTGTTATTTTCAACTAGAGTTCCAAAGCTTCTTACCCTCTCGGTGGTAGAAAGAGTTTGGGTACGCGTAAAAGTGTCTTTTAAAACTGATGACACCGAAGTACCAAAAAATAAATAAATTAAGGAAGTATGTCAGTTGGAGCGCAAAACCAGGCTCGAGATGCAAAGTACCAAGTCCACACAGATAAAACTCTGTAGTTAAAATATAATTTTATAGACCTGTGACCAAAAGACAACACTAAAGTATATAACATCAACATATCTTCATAACATTAGGGAACTTCGTATTTTCCTAAAGGGCTTTAAGCGGTTGGTGTTTTTTGTTTGTTTGTTTGTTTGTTTGTTTGTTTGTTTGTTTGTTTGTTTTTGGTTGGTTTGTGTGTTTGTTAGTTTTATTTTACAATGTTATGGAAAACACAAACGCATAATTACTTTTTTACACATTGCAACTGAAGTGTAATAAAAATTGTAAAAGTTAAGAAATTAGGAAAAAAGTTAACTTCGCTTAAACGTTTATTTCTTAGAAGTATTAGTAATAATAATTGTACTAGTGTAATGGTGATAATAAAACAAATACAGCAAAGCTAAAACTTCTTACCTTCTCAGAAGTAGGAAGAGTTTGAGTGCGCGTAAAAGTATCGTCACTGTTAATGCTGATCAGCTCCGCGTCTGCTGGTGGAAACGGCGAAGGGAAAACCACTACATCACTCTTTATTGTGTCTGAACTAAAACACACGTCGTACTGTTGAGTAGATTTAGAGAAGGACCAGCTGCCGTCTGGATGTGTGTTGATCACAGGAGCGCCGTACCTGCTGAAACTGCTGTCTGTCCTGTAGCATTTAGCTGCTATCAAACCCACGAGACTCAGTAAAAAGATGACTGATACTGAGACAATAGCGATGAGCAGATACAGATTCAGATCTGAAAAACTCTCCTCTTTAACAGGAACTTCTCTGAATGATGTCTTTATGTCATCCAGACTCTCAAGAACCACAACATCCATGGACGTAGTCGCTGAGAGCGATGGCTCTCCATTATCAGACACTGTAATAATCAGTGGGTGAGTTTTTAAGTCATTGTCACTCATTCGTCTCTTAGTCCTTATTTCTCCAGTGCTGCTTCCAATGCGGAAGAGATTAGTTCCTTTAGGTTCAGTTAGATGATAAGACAGAAGAGCGTTATATCCAGAGTCAGCATCAACAGCTCTTATCTTGGCTACAAAGTATCCCGCTTCAGCAGAGTAGGGGATGTTCTCAGTATTAACTGATCCAGGTTCAGAATAAGGTGCTAAAATGACTGGACTGTTGTCATTCTCATCCAGAATAAACACATTTACTGTCGCATTACTGCTCAAAGGAGGAACACCAGAGTCTGTTGCCATAACTTGAAACTGAAATCTTTTGGTCTCTTCATGATTAAATGATTGCAAACTGAATATTTCTCCACTTAAAGAGTTGATATTTATCAGTGTTGTTACAGGAATGCTGGAGCTGGAACTGTCTAACAGTGAATATGAAAGTTCTGCGTTCTCACCAGTGTCTGAATCTTCAGCAGTCACTTTTGTCACGAGACCTCCAGCTTGACTATTCTCACTTAGAAAAGCGTTAATAACGGGTGCTGGGAAATGTGGAGCATTGTCATTAACATCAGAGATATGAACAGTTATAACTGTGCTGCTGGAAAGAGGCGGAGTTCCTTCATCTGCAGCTGTAATAGTGATATTATACTGAGAAACACTCTCTCTGTCCAGAGGTCCATCTACCACTAGAGAATAATGATTATTATACGATGTCTCCAGTTTGAAAGGAAACAAACCTTTCAGAGTACAATGTACAATGCCATTGTTATCTCCATCTCTATCGGTCACTTTTATTAAAGCAACAGCGGTGCCGCGTTTTGCGTCCTCTTTTACACTTTCCATCAGAGGAGTCGTAACTATCTCTGGGGCATTATCATTCTCATCAACAACTTCTATTAAAACTTTACAATGAGTGCTTTTTGGTGGGGTGCCTTTATCTTTAGCCTGAACACGCAATTCAATTGCAGAGTGTTTCTCGTAATCAATTTGACCTTGAACAACAATTTCACCAGAATTAGTATCAATTGTAAACAGGTTCAGTTCATCTGTATTTCCACGTCCAAGAAACGAATACTGAATTTCACTATTGTGGCCCTCATCCAAATCACTGGCTGACACAGAGATTATTTTGGTTCCAAGCCGTGTGCTTTCCTTGACTTTAACTTTATACAAGGGTTTAATAAAAATAGGTTTATTATCATTTACATCTGTGACATCAACTATAATACTCAAGGTTCCAGATTTAGGAGGTTTTCCACCATCAATAGCGGTTAGGATTAAGTTAATAACGGGTTGTTTTTCTCTGTCTAAAGTTTTCTGTAGAACTAATTCAGCTAATGAACTCTGTTGACCCTTATGAACATCTAAGGAAAAATGCTCATTTGAGCTCAGTTTGTAGTCTTTTAGAGAATTGCTGCCGACATCTATATCTTTTGCAATTGGAAGAGGAAATCTGTCCCCCTCATTCGCATTTTCCGTAACGCTGAGAATATACGTGCTGTTAGGAAAAACTGGAGCATTGTCGTTCACATCTATTATTACAATTTCAAGTCGATAAAGTCTGTGAGGATTCTGAGCAAGAGCCTCTAAATTCAGTGCACATTTCTGATTAACGCCACACAACTCCTCACGATCAATCCTGTCTTTAACAAACAGCGACCCCGTTTTCACATTTACATCAAAATACTTTGCATTTGATCCAGGCATAATCTGAAACATGCGGGATTCAAGTTCCTGAGCACTCATCCTGATGTCTTTTGCTATATTCCCGATCACGGTTCCTTTATTTACCTCCTCGGAGACCGAAAATACAATCTGACCAAGCGAAGATTCCCATAAAGACAGAAATAACATAATCCAGAAACCATATAGTTCCGAGAGATCCATGATAATGCAGTGAAATATCCAGTGCGGTTAATTTTGTGTTTACTGTTTGAGTGAGATAACCAAACTCACAACGATATAATATGATAACGCGACAGAGAAGCTGCTATAAGCCTTGGTTATGTATACAGTCCTTCAACGCGTTTCCTCTTGTTCTAATGCAGTTAAGGAGGAGTTCAGATAAGCCTCAAAATCATGGTCTGCACTGCCACCACGTGTTGAAACAGTGATTAAACAATGATATGTTAAGGAGTGAAGTCCACGTATAAACTTAACGTTATATATATATATATATATATATATATATATATATGCCCAGTTATTATGAGATAAAGAATGCTTCTGGTAAACAACAAAAACAACAAAACGTAACTTATGTCATCCGTGGTCCTCGCACTGAAGTGATTTTTATCGTTGATCACAAACAAAAATAATAATAATTCAGCAAAAAGGCTAACAAAAAAACAAATAGCATGGTACACTCTCAGAAATAAAGGTACTGGAGCTGTCTCTGGGGAAGTACCTTTTCAAAAGATACATATTTGTACCCAAAGAGTCCACAGTGGTACCTCAGACGTCCTTATTAGTGCCCATATGTACCTAAAACGTACCTTTGAGGTACCATGGACCCTTTGGGTACAAATATGTACCTTTTGAAAAGGTACCGCCCCAGTGACAGATCATGTACCTTTATTTCTAAGAGTGTACTTTCATAATGTAAATATACAAATGCAATAAATAAAAATAAGAATAAAAAATGTTGTCCTTTACAGTGTCACGCACCAAGCCCATGGCAAACAAGTGAACACCCCATTGAATTAGTAAAATGACAAGTATAACACATGATTCTAAGATCATTAATACAACTGTAATGTGTCATCTCAAAAAGAAGCGATAAATTAAAGCAATTTCAAAGTTTCAAAACTTTGTTCTGGATAAACGAAAATGTAACTTTGCAAAACTGTTGAGGCCAAGTGCAGTAATAAATTACACAAGCTAGTTACAGCTTCTTACCTTCTCGTTGGTAGGAAGAGTTTGAGTGCGCGTAAAAGTATCGTCACTGTTAATGCTGATCAGCTCCGCGTCTGCTGGTGGAAACGGCGAAGGGAAAACCACTACATCACTCTTTATTGTGTCTGAACTAAAACACACGTCGTACTGTTGAGTAGATTTAGAGAAGGACCAGCTGCCGTCTGGATGTGTGTTGATCACTGGAGCGCCGTACCTGCTGAAACTGCTATCTGTCCTGTAGCATTTAGCTGCTATCAAACCCACGAGACTCAGTAAAAAGATGACTGATACTGAGACAATAGCGATGAGCAGATACAGATTCAGATCTGAAAAACTCTCCTCTTTAACAGGAACTTCTCTGAATGATGTCTTTATGTCATCCAGACTCTCGAGAACCACAACATCCATGGACGTAGTCGCTGAGAGCGATGGCTCTCCATTATCAGACACTGTAATAATCAGTGGGTGAGTTTTTAAGTCATTGTCACTCATTCGTCTCTTAGTCCTTATTTCTCCAGTGCTGCTTCCAATGCGGAAGAGATTAGTTCCTTTGGGTTCAGTTAGATGGTAAGACAGAAGTGCGTTATATCCAGAGTCAGCATCAACAGCTCTGATCTTGGCTACAAAGTATCCCGCTTCAGCAGAGTAGGGGATGTTCTCAGTATTAACTGATCCAGGTTCAGAATAAGGTGCTAAAATAACTGGACTGTTGTCATTCTCATCCAGAATAAACACATTTACAGTCGCATTACTGCTCAGAGGAGGAACACCAGAGTCTGTTGCTATAACTTGAAACTGAAATCTTTTGATTTCTTCATGATTAAATGATTGCAAACTGAATATTTCTCCACTTAAAGAGTTGATATTTATCAGTGTTGTTACAGGAATACTGGAGCTGGAACTGTCTAACAGTGAATATGAAAGTTCTGCGTTCTCACCAGTGTCTGAATCATCAGCAGTCACTTTTGTCACGAGACCTCCAGCTTGACTATTCTCACTTAGAAAAGCGTTAATAACGAGTGCTGGGAAATGTGGAGCGTTGTCATTAACATCAGAGATACGAACAGTTATAACTGTGCTGCTGGAAAGAGGCGGAGTTCCTTCATCTGCAGCTGTAATAGTGATGTTATACTGAGAAACACTCTCTCTGTCCAGAGGTCCATCTACCTCTAGAGAATAATGATTATTATATGATGTATCCAGTTTAAAAGGAACTGAGCCTTTAAGAGAACAGTGTACAATGCCATTTTTACCCCCATCTATATCAGACACTGTGACTAAAGCAACAGCAGTTCCTGACTTTGCGTTCTCTTTTACACTTTCCATCAGAGGAGTCGTAACTATCTCTGGGGCATTATCATTCTCATCAACAACTTCTATTAAAACTTTACAGTGACTGTTTTTTGGTGGGGTGCCTTTATCTCTAGCCTGAACACGCAGTTCAACTGCTGGAGATTCCTCGTAATCAATCTGACCTCGAACAACAATTTCTCCAGAGTTAGAATCAATTGTAAACAGGAGCATTTCATCACTATTTCCACGTCCATGAAATGAATATTGAATTTCACTATTGATGCCCTCATCCAAATCACTGGCAGAAACGGAGATTATTTTGGTTTCAAGCGGAGTGTTTTCCTTCACTTTTACTTTGTATAAAGGTTTGCTGAAAACTGGTTTATTATCATTTACATCCACGACGTTAACAACAATACTCAAGGTTCCAGATTTAGGAGTTTTTCCTCCATCAAAAGCTGTCATAGTTAAGGAAATAGAGGGTTGCTTCTCTCTGTCTAAAGCTTTCTGTAATACTAATTCGGGTGACATACTCTGTTGATTGCTATGTATGTCTAAAGAAAAAAAATCATTTAAACTTAGTTTGTAGTCTTTCAGAGAGTTAATGCCGACATCTGAATCTTTTGCATTTGGCAAAGGAACTCTGTCCTCTACGTTCGCATCCTCTGTAATATTCACAATATAAGTACTGTCCGAAAATAATGGAGCATTGTCGTTCACATCCACAATTGAAATTTCAATACGATAAAGTCTGTGAGGATTCTGAGCAAGAGCCTCTAAATTCAGTGCACATTTCTGATTAACGCCACACAACTCCTCGCGATCAATCCTGTCTTTGACAAACAGCGACCCCGTTTTCACATTTGCATCAAAATACTTTGCATTTACCCCAGGCATAATCTGAAACATGCGGGATTCAAGTTCCTGAGCACTCATCCTGAGGTCTTTTGCTATATTCCCGATTACGGTTCCTTTATTTACCTCCTCGGAGACTGAATAGACAATCTGGCCAAGCGAAGATTGCCATAAAGACAGAAATAAAATAATCCAGAAGCCATAAGACTTTAAGATAGCCATTATTCTGCCGCAAAGTGTGCAACGATACCCTGTAGATTTATTAAAATAACAAAACTGACGTCTTCCGGTACAATCCATTAATCTCGACACAGAAGCCACTAAAAGCCTTTGTTTTTTACACCGCATCATCGCATTTCCTCGTTCTGATGTTGTAAAGGAGGAGCTCGGATAACTCTCAAAGTTATGGTCTGCACTGCCACCACGTGTTGTAACAGTGATGAGACAATAATATTACTTCATGCAGTCTTCTATTACGAAGAGGGAAGTCCAACATAGTCGTCGTTTTAGATTTAAATCTAAAACCCTATTTTCAACTCAATTATTACCAATTAGAAAAAAAAGTTTGGTGTTGTTCGTGTATTATAATTAATGCAAATGAGAAAGATTACGCTTAACGGCACTGTCGCTGTCCGTGGTGCTGAAGTGATTTTGCTCTTAACATACGAAACACGCAACCGTTTAGTAGGCCTAAGGCAGCACGCTAAGAAAACACACAGCATATTGTCTCCATGTCACTTTTCCAACGTTATAAAAAAAGTCTAAGTAAAACAAACTACCAAAAAATATATCTTTTATAGTGCAAAACCAGGCTTCAGATACAAAGATCCAATTATGTAATTACAACATAATTGTGGTGGCATGTGATATAACGACTAAAAGACAAATGAGCCACGGTATGCTAAAGTGAGATAGAACATTAAAATATGTCTTCCTAACAAGTGAGAAATTTCGTTTTTTTTTCTCTCTCTCTCTCTCTCTCTCTTATTGTAAAGCACTTTGTGACTTCATGTCTATGTAGGGTGCTTTATAAATGAACCTTTGTTTACTTATGGGGAATGCCAAACATAATCTGCGAACATTTTTTTATTTTTATTTTTTTGCTATTTCTGTGCAGAATTTTGTGGAAAAAAATATTTTGGGAGTATCATAACTTAAAGCCTAATAAATGAAACAAAAAAATAATACCCCTTTAACTTTTATTAATATTTACAATGCAAATCCAATTAGATCCACTTATTTGATAACAAAGCAAGTCTCTGATATAATATATCTACTGAAAGACAGAAAATATTACTTTACAAACTGTATTGTAAATAAATCATATATTCATTTTCAAATTAGTCAATGATATTACTGAAATTAAAAAAAAAACTGAATGAATATAAATGTACACACATTCACACAAGTAAATAAATAAACTCAATGGGCAAAAAAAATCTGCGGATTTCTGCGGGCGCAGATTCCGTGAGGGCCTACTTATGAGTATAATCAGTTAGGGATGTTTTCTATTTTACAATATTATGCAGACCGTACACGCATATTTTTTGTGCACATTTAGCCCAAAATATAAATAGAAAAATATGTAGGTTTGGAAATGAAGAAAACTTTAACTCCGCTAGTATGATTTTAAAATAGTGATAGTAATTGTAGTAGTTTATTGGTGATCGTGAAAGTTTTTCACTGAAAGACAACAAATCTAAATCTCTTACCTTCTCAGTAGTAGGAAGAGTTTGAGTGCGCGTAAAAGTATCTTCACTGTTAATGCTGATCAGCTCCGCGTCTGCTGGTGGAAACGGCGAAGGGAAAACCACTACATCACTCTTTATTGTGTCTGAACTAAAACACACGTCGTACTGTTGAGTAGATTTAGAGAAGGACCAGCTGCCGTCTGGATGTGTGTTGATCACTGGAGCGCCGTACCTGCT